CCCCCCCCCTCCCTGCTCTCTCCCAGTGCATGTACGTAGCCCCCTGCCTCGCCGACTCGCCGTCACTACCATTCGTCCTTTCCTTATTGGCTGTTTTTTTCGGTATTTCCCCGCACTGTTGTGTGCCACGCGTGTCAGCGGCGACGTGCCGGGAGGCGAGGGCTTGCCGTCGGCCACAGGCTATGCCGTCGCGGGAGCGTCTCACGCTCTCCATGATGCGGTGAGTCTTTCCTGGCGCTTGGTACTTCGTGGGGTGGGGGGGGTGGGCGTGCTCTCATTGTTTGGCATGCCTTAGCGGTGAGACCATTGACCACGCGTCCTCGAGACGACGGAGCATTGTTCCCAAACGACCGATCTCTGATCGATGGCAAATCGTTCTTTCTTTCAGGCGTGGGTGGTGGGGGCCTCCGTGGATAATGATGGTCAAGGGGGAATGGCGGTGCCCTTGCCTGTGGGTGCTGAGGGGCGAGGTCTGCGTTGCAAGCGTTACTTTCGGCTATATTTTTTTGCTGGTGTTGGCGAATGTGTTTTTTTTCACGCCTGACCGTCGCCATGTGGTGCCGTAGCCCCTCGCGTCTACGCTGCCGTCGGGACGCGTCACGTCGGGCGTCCAACACCGAGCAGGCATTGCGCCGTTTAAGAAACAAGAGCCATGCTAAATACACCTGGCAAGTGGTTGTAGGAATTGCGTGTGTGGGTGCGTGTTGGATGATCTGCGTGGGAACAGGAGCACAGCGCTGTTAAGATGTTTTATTTCTACGTTCGGCGAAGAACGGGTGAGCTAGGCCCCAAACACACGTGACAGGTATGCATACCTTCCGCTGTCCCTGAAAACTAGCTCGCCTGGGAAGTTCCATGATTTTCAATGCATGCTCGGTTCGAGTGCCGTCTGTAGGGCACTTTCATACTGGGGACGACTGTTGTTAATAGGTGGTATGCCGGACTATTTTCTGCTCGTTGGCTCGGAAATCCTGCAGCGATGACTCACTAACCGCGGTAATTGTCTGGACATCCTTGTTGCGGATGGTGCACTGCCCGAAGACGGAACGCTATATACCCCCCTCCCAGCTTGGTGATATGAGAGTCTGGTCCGGTGAGGACCCGGCGTGCTCCGTCCCGGCTTTGTAGGGATGCGAGGTCGATGGTCAAACAGCTACGGCATGCACGACTATGAGTACACCCCCCCCCCCCCCCCCCCCCCCC